CCTCTTCCCTTCCCCTATATCATAAAATGTTTGAGAATCTGGCCTTTCCTTTAGTTGTGAAATCTATTTAATTATCACCTATTGAACGTTTACTATGTACAATGCACATTCAAGACTCTCTGAGTAAAAGGTGGTCTTGGTAAGGTTGGTAAAATGTAAGTGAAACTAGGTAAATGCCGTAAGAGTGCCATGAGAATTAGCAGTATAAAAGGAGTGTGTCTAAGAGACAGCACAGGGAGAGACTGTGCTGCAGGGTTAAGAGCATGGACCTGGGAGCCAGACCACCTGGGTTCAGTACTCAGATCTGCCACCTACTAACTGGTCAAATTACATAACCACCCTGTGCCTCAGTTTCCTCATATGTAAAATGGGGATAATAGTAATGCTTGTCTCACAGGGTTGTTGTGAGGATTAAATGAGTTATTATATGCAAATCCCATAGAACAGTGCTGGGCACAAAGCTAAGAGCTCTAGAAATCTCGCTGTTATTGTTATTGTTATATATAATTATGGGAGTCAGAAAAGGCTACACGGATGGGGAGGCATTAGTGGTGACCCTGGCCAACAGCAGGGAATGAAATGGAGAAAGCCCATAGCTGACAGCCCAGCTGAGGCAACAGGAGGACGGATGTCCCTGACTCCCACTCTGGGGAAGCACAGACCCACTGTCCTGTGTCCTGACGCAGACACTCTCCACGTGCTGCCCTGAGCCCATGGCACAGGTTGTGTACGTGCATGCATCTGAATAGAAATATTCCTGAAGGATGTACCCAAGTGATTTTCTCTGAGTTGTGGAATAATAGATGATGTTTCTTTTCTTCTTTTTGCTTCCCTATACTTCTAATTATTCAATAATTATTGTGTATTAATTGTTATAAAAGATATAAATGAAAACGTTTTAAAAAGCCATTATTCATGAAACACTTGGCACTTATTGATAAAAAATTTTGTTTCTATTCTTCTCAAGCAAAGGGCATGGTATGTAGAAATTCGTGATTGTGACGAGTCAAGAATTCACTATGAGGCTGCCATACAGGAGCCAATCTCTTAGCTAGTGTGTGAGCTCAGCTGACATCTCAAAGTGGCAATGTGGCCATAATGTATTACCTAATTCCATTTAGTTCTTACAACAATAGAGGTAGATATTATTGACTAAATTTTACAAATAAAAAACTGAGAGTTTTATATACTATATTGTTAATCAAGAATTTGGCAATCTGATGTCTAGTACTAGGGTTCTTAGCCTCAGCACTGTTGACAATTTGGATCAGATAATTCTTTGCTGTGCATTGTAGGATGTTTAGCAGCATCCCTGGTTTCTACCCACTAGATACCAGCAGCATCCCTCTCCCCACAGGTTGTGACAAGCAAAAATGTCTCCAGACATTGCTAAATGTCCTCTGGTTGAGAACCACTGGTCTAGTGTATTCCATTCATTAAGCCTGAACGTTAAATTCTAAAAATTCAAGATACAAACTTCAAACCATTTTCAACACTTCACCTTCATAGGGGGCTTAGGTCTTCAACTAAATCTTAATAAATGTTATTGATGATGAAAACAGACATTATGATGTAATGAACATATTTTGCATAAATAATTTCCTATCTTTTCCATTTATTGCCATCCTAACGTGGATCAAATGGAATGAGCATTTTTAAGGCTTCTCATCCATACTGTCAAATTGCTGACTGTAAAAGTTGTACCAATTTACATTTCCACTAGCATTGTAAGAGACTCTTATCACAGCCTCACCAGCATTGGCTATTATGTATGTTTCTATCTTTGCTAATATAAGTTCTTATTTATATTTATATATTTATTTTTATAAATATTTATATTTTTATTCCTTATTTATATTTTTGAGCACTAATAAAACTGAACATTTTCCCATATGTTTTAGCCAGTGGTATTTCTCTTTTTCTCAATTGTTTATACTTTTTGCTCATTTGTGTGTTGGGGTCTTGGTATTGTTCTTATCAATTTGGCTCAGCTCTTTATATAATGTAACCTGGATGGCATCAATTTCTACAAAAAAATAGCTCATATAAAGCATTTGAGCTTAGACTTCATTAAAGGTTTGGGCAGATGGCAAAGGATTTACGTGACAGCAATTGAAGCAATCTCAAATGGAGATCTGAACACTCCTATTTTTACAAGTTTTTATCATGTTGCTTTCTTCTTTCTCTTCTCTCATCCCTCCACTTCCTTCCTCTCATGTTTTCACCTCCCAATTTCTGCTCCTTTCCAATTTCTATGGGAAACTAGTTTAGTTACATCTTTAGTTTCTTTGTCTCCATTTACTCAAGCTCTCAATTTATCTTCCACTCTGCTAGTTTATCAATGTATTTTCCTAAACAAGGACATTTTCTTTGCTAAGTGGAATACCCGTACCAACTTTCAAGATATTTTTAATATTGTAGGGGGGTGAAAAATGATTTTGATTCCTATTGTGCTATTAGTTTCAAATACTTTCCCCAATTTAATTAAAACATTTATCTTTTTCCCTTGAAAAAATTGTAAGAAAAAAAATCTTTATGCATTTTTTTCAGTGCCTTAAGCTTAGAAAGTGCTTCCAGATGGGGAGTCTTTAGATAGTTGGAAATGGAGGAAAAGGTGTGGCATGCCCATTATATACCCATATAGTTAGATACCTAATATGCTCCTACGCATAGTATAGAAAAACAAGCTTTCCTCTTTGTAAAACATGTTTTCTTACTGCTAGAAGCCATTAGAAAGCAATCATGCCCTGCTTATATTAAACATTTGCTAGGTTTTTTAATGAGATATGCTAAGCCTAATAATAATTAGAGCTAATATTTGTTTAGCACTGCATTATACTACCTCTCAAGTAAAATAAGATGTTTAAAACATTTTGAAGTGTTGGGAGGTCAGAAGTAGACGTACTTGAGTTTAAAAATTCAGAAACTGAGTGGCCGGCCCAGTGGCATAGCAGTTAAGTGCGAGAGCTCTGCTTCGGAGGCCCAGGGAGGGTTGTAGAGTTCACACCCACACACAGCTCATCAAGCCATGCTTTGGTGACATCCCATATAAAGTAGAGGAAGATGGGGACGGATGTTAGCCCAGGGCCCATCTTCCTCAGCAAAAAGAGGAGGACGGACATTGGATGTTATCTCAGGGCTAATCTTCCTCACACACACACACACAAATTCAGAAACTGAGATGAGAATTCTGCTTCAGGGCCACACACAAGCATAAAGAAACCAAAAGGTTTCAAATGCAGACCCTAAAATTGCACTGTCCAAAGCAGTTGCCAACAGCCTCCTGTGGGTTTTTAAATTTTAATTAATCATAGTGAAATAAATTTTGAAATTCCATTCTTCAGTCACACTAGCCACATCTCAAGTGCTCAATAGCCACATAAGGCTAGTGGGTACCAGGGCCGGCCCAGCGGTGCAAGCGGTTAAGTGCGCGTGCTCTGCTGCGGCAGCTTGGGGTTCGCTGGTTCCGGTCCTGGGTGCGCACCAACACACTGCTTGCCAAGCCATGCTGTGGCGGCGTCCCATGTAGAGTGGAGGAGGATGGGCACGGATGTTAGCCCAGGGCCAGTCTTCCTCAGCAAAAAAAGAAAGAGGAGGATTGGCAGATGTTAGCACAGGGCTGATCGCCTCACACACACACAAAAAGGCTAGTGGGTACCATATGGACAGCACAGAATAACATTTCCACCATAGAAGAAAATTTTATTGGACAGTACAGATCTAACAAAATATTGCCTTTAGGCCCATCTTGTGATGCCAGATAAAGCCTTTGGAATTCCTGACAAGTTTCCAAAGCTGTGTTAGAGAACTGGTTGTTAGAATTGCCTGAACTTCATTCAAAATTGGTGAAAAGCATCAGGCTGGGGATAGTTTGGTTGATTGCTACTTTTTGTCCAACCTAATACTGAGGCTCTAAGAAATTCCCTGGTGAATTTCTGCAGGGACACAACAGCAGAAGAGCCTTAGAAGAGGTCAGAAAATCTGGGTCCTATAATATATAGTAATAATGGTCACCATTTACTGTTTCCTATGTGCTAGGTACTGTGCTAAATGCATACTTCATTTAATCCTCACAATACCTCTATAAGGTATCTATTATTACTACCATTTTACAAGTGAAGAAACCAGAGTTTAGAGGCCTAAGGTCACACAGTAGTCAGTAGTGGAGCCAGGATTTAAAATCAGATATGTCTATTCCCTTGTGCTAAACAGCTCTGTAACCTCTGGTTCTTCACTTTCGTTATCCGTAAATAAAAGGACTAAATTAGAAAAATCACAAAGTTCTCTACCGTTTCTAAAACTATGTTCTAAACTAGAATAACACCACCTATCTTCCCAAGCCAATGAAATATGCAGGGTTCAGAAGAGCAGCTTCCTACCTTTTTTCCCCCAAAAGGATACGCTTTCTCCTGTCCATGCCTTTGTCCTGAAACCTTCCTTGGTTTCCCACTATCTACTGTGGTTTCAGCTATTTATGATGTTTACTGCACGCCACACATACCCCTGTACTAGATAACATGCTCTCACGGCAGGGAGTGATTCACAATCCTAAAAAAATTAGCACAATGCCTAGGACACAGTAAATGCTCCATGAACATTTATGGAATTAACTTGAAGTGGACTGGAAGGAAAACGTGAATCAGCTGAAGCGAACTACTAAGTATATATTACTCAGAAAACGGGGCTGTCTGAAGAAAACACAGTGGAGCAGCTGTGTAGAGGCTGGAGACAAATTCTGACCCGCAGAAACCTGAAGAAGTGGGATAACGTTAGAGATGGAGGCGGTGACATTCACAGGTGGCGGACGAGACTCCCTCAGAACACTGGGAGAAGCGAACCCCCCCCCGCCCGCCGCGAGCCAGCGGCCAGCAGCCCCGACTCCCCGTCTCCCGGGCTCCTCGGGAGCTTCCTAGCCCCGCCCCTCTTCCAAGGTCGAGGCGGCGGCGGCGGCGGCGGCGGCTGCGCAGTGCGCGCGCGTAGGCCGGGCGGCGCGCCCCGCGGTCAGCTGACTGCTCCGGCTGGCACGTGACTTGCTCCGTGGGCTCTAGGGTCGAGGAAGCTGTGAGGCCGGAGCTGAGGTCCGGGAGGGATGGAGCGCTGAGTCGTTAATGTCCGCCAGGCTGTCGGCCTCCGTACCTTTCTGCTGCCACTTCCTCGTCTGACACTTTCCTGGGTCGGTGAGCGGTGGCTGCCCCGGATGGGGAGTCTCGGCCAGGCCGAAGCTCGCGCTGCGGTCGCTGCCTGGGAGGGATGGGGGCGGGCGCGGGGGCCGAACCTGTGGCGTTGGAGCTGGCTGGGTGGCTGTGTCTGGTTTCTCGGCGCGGGTTCGTGGCAGCCTTGGGCCTCGGTTCCGTCTCGAACGAAGAGGAAGGAGGGAAGAAGAGAAAGGGCCCTAGGGGATATTGAGTGGCAGAGACAAAAAGGAGAAACACTGCGGGTCTAGGACATGTCTCCTTCGTTTGGGTGGGTGGTCACAGCGAATCCCCGCCCCCTTAATTGAGGGGGATGAAAGGTGACAGAGTAGCCCAGATGAGGATCTGGGGTGGTGTGTGTGAGGTCACAGCGAGCGCAAGAGCCTTTAGTGGGTGCAGGCGCCTGTGAGAAGGGGGATGGCAGTTCAAATGGTCTAGGAGCCCCTCACTGTGAGCAGGGGGCCCTCACAGAGGACGCAGGGTCCTTGTAGTCAGGGGAAAGAACGAGAATCCAGAGAACTCAAACAATTTTTTATTAGAATGGAGGAAGGGTGGGCAAGAAACCCCTGAAAAGGAACTTGTGGGGAGAGTCCCCCAAGGCAAATTGAATCACCTGAGAAACAGGGGAAGTTAATGTTCTTTTCAGAGGAAAAGTCTGGTATGTTAGGGAAAAATCCAGTATTTCATTGAGAGCTCAGTGCTTAGCACTGCTCTGGGAGTGGAGTGCGCTGTAAACAGTCCAGCCTTAGGAGTTTGCACCAATGTTGGGGAAATAAGTCACACATGATACACTGAAATACTGTGAGGTTATATGTAATTATCAAAAAGAGAATGCTAAGTGCTTTGGAACTGTGAGCAGGGACAGACATATGAGTGGCACTATCAGGAAATAGGCTGAGGGAAAGATAACCTGGACTTGGGTCTTGGCAAGCCAGTGGGATTTGAACAGGTGGAGAGAAATGGGGAGAACTTTCTAGACAGAGAAGGCCACAGGACTTGAAGGCCTGATGAGGAGGAAAAAGCATGCTGTTAGGGGAGTCAGAAGACCAGATGTGTAATGGATTTGAATTGTGGAGAACTGGGAAATCGAGTTGGGGTCAGATAATGAAGATACTTGGATGATGATAATTTACATATTCATTCAACTAATATATATTGAGCTATATACCAGGTACTGTGCTGGGGTTTAGAAAACAGACAGTGTTTCTCTCCTCATAGAGATTACAGTCAAGCAGAGGAGATGGATTTTAATAAATAATCATGCAAGTGTGAAGTGTACTTTGAAGGAATAACAGTGGTGTGAAAGGTTTATGTAGGACGTGGCCTTTATAGAAGGGTCAGAGAAGGCTTTTTGGAGGATATGATTTTGGAATTGACGTCTGAAAAGAGGCTGAAAAAGATGTGAAGGTGTAAGTGAAAACATTCCAGGCTGAGGGAACAGCGTATGTCAATGGGAAGAGGAATAAAGCTTTTGAGAAGTTGTGGAAGGGCTAGCATGGCTGAATTGGGAGGGAGCTATGTGAGAGAAGCAGGTGACCGAATACTGGGCTCAGGCCCAGCAGAGCTGTTATCCTAAAAGTAGAGGGAAGCCAGTGAAGATTATAGGCAGTAGAGTGAGTAAGACGTGGTTTTTGAAAAGAAAATTTTGTTGAGGATGTGGAGAGTGCAAAAGTGAATGAGAGGAGACCACCTCAAGGAAGACACTGTTGTATTCCCACCAAGAGATGGCAAAGCAGTTTAAACTTTCTGGTAGAGAGTGGAGAGCCAGTGAAGGATTTGAAGGCAAGATACCTTCTTTATCTCTCCACTAAGGAATTAAGGAGAATGGTTAACTGTATTTACTTTGGGAGGGGCTAAGGAATTGAGGAAGGGAAAGAATAATTAGATTCTATTTGCACCCTTCATTGAGGGTAGTTTGTGTGTGTGTATGTGTGTGTGTGAGAGAGAGGAAGATCAGCCCTGAGCTAACATCTGATGCCAGTCCTCCCCTTTTTGCTAAGGAAGACCAGCCCTGGGCTAACATCTGTGCCCATCTTGCTCTACTTTATATGGGACGCCGCCACAGCATGGCTTGCCAAGCGGTGTGTCGGTGTGTGCACGGGAACCTGCGAAGCCCGGGCTGCAGAAGCTGAGCATGCGCACTTAACCGCTGTGCCACTGGGCCGGCCCCTAGGGTAGTTCTAACTAACCCGTAAGCAGTCCTGAAGTCCACAGGGGAGGCTGGATCATTTGGGGGTTGATGGGAGACTCCTTTGCAAAACTCGGTTTTGGTCTTGCAAACTTATGTTGGGAATGTCATCTACTCCAGAATACCCTTTATTGAACAATAGGTAGTCACAGGGAGGACTCGATTGCCTTTCGTGTTTATTTTGTTCTCACGGGTCTTTGAGAGAGAAGTAGATGAAAATGCTATTCATTGTATAGATAGGAACCTTTCTAGACTCTTGGAACTAGAAACAGAGAAGGTGATTTGTGTAAGTTTGGCATAACTTCCACAGTCTTCTAACTGCTGGTGTATTGTTCCTGCTGATTACCTACGCAGTACTTACCACAATCACGTCTAGAGAGAAGGGTGAGTTTCTTGAAGTGCATTGTAATCTTTGATTCAGCACTTTAGGTGAACTTTTTCTAGGAGGTCAGCTTCAAGGGATTTAGCAGTGGTGGTCAGTGCTTTAAAAACTGCTTTTCTGCAAGCTTGGGTAAAGCTATTCAATTTACAGTTCAGTTGGAGGACATAATGAGCAACAAATGTGAGCTGAAAGTGCTCAGGTTGTTAATCACGGTTCTTTGGCAAACAAGCAAGTCTCAAATTGTCCTGAAGACTGAGCCTCAGGGTTGTGGCTCAGAACTCCAGGAGGATCTTTTTCTGTTTTGGTACATCTTGCAGGGACTAGATAAAATCTAAAGAAACAGTACTTGAGATCTGAGTAAAGTAAATGCTGAGAGCTAGGTGGTTAGTGTAATTCTTCTTTTAAAATTGGGCAGGAAATACTCATTTTTTGGGCACATTAGTCTTAGTAGCCTCATTTACGTTAGTTTTTATAACCTAAAAAGAAACTTGGGCTGCAAAAATCTGATTCTGTGATTATTTCCACAACTTGTGAAATAATTCCTTGGCTGAAGAGCAAAACTGGAATGCCAAAATAAATCTTTGCAAAAGGATCTCCTTGTAGTCCGCCCATCCCCCAAGCGGTCCGTCTTCCTTTTGAACTTGAGTCTGCTTAGGGGTAGCTACAGTTTTGGCTAAGTACCTCCTATTTAAGTTTTGTTCCTGTACGTATTCTGATCTATCTGCGGGAGTAAATCTTCATACCCTTTGGATGTGGAATTTTATATCATTTTAGTTATACACTAATTCATGTTAGATTTCCATTTCATTGATGTTTTTAAGACATAGTGGAAACCATTAGCATGGTGCCCTTGGAAAGATAGCTCAGGCAGTGAGCCAGGACCGTCTAAAATTTCCTGTTGACATGAGTGACACTTGGAACTAGAAATTTCATGCTATATTCTTGATAATAAAGTAAAATTCTTTTCCAGTGGGAAATCTGCTTGTAATGTTGTATCATTGTGCAAATCTGGTCTACGTTTATTGAGTTCAAAAAGGAGCCAGGTGGGCAATGAGGGAGAGGTGCTTTGGGTACATCAGAGGATAAAAAGATGGAGCATTAGCTCTATATCTAGAATAAGGTGTGTGTGTATTTGAAAATAAAGTGGCAAATAAATTCAAAAATGATGTTTTGTAGAAAGAGATTGATGTTATCTGTTAAGATATTTTAAGCAACCTAGTAATTCATAAATTAAGCTAATTAACAGGCAGATTAACTTTACCATGAAAGGTTTTCTTCATAAACCAGCCATAGTATAGTGATTCTGTCTGAGGGCTATTGGCATTTTGCACAGGACTGTCCCTTCTTTAGCCCCCATCCGGTAAATGCTGATTGTGACCCCCATGTTGGGACAACCTAAAACGTTCCCATACATTTCCAGACTCCTTTTGGGGGAGAGAGGTACCGTTTGGTTGCGAAACACCGCGTGTGGTGCCGTCATTTATTTGTTGGACAGATATTTGAGTGCTTGTTAGGGACAGACATTTTACTAGATATTGGGGATATAAAGGTTAAGGGTAGTGTTTTAATAAACTAGCATGTAAAATGTATGTAGTCACTAGCTGTGTGACCTTGGGCAAGTAATTTCATTAACTGTTCTCTCATCTCCAAATGGTGGTGATGATAACATCTTCTTTAAAGGAATTAGGTACAAAATTGCTTAGCATATTGAAGTGCTTATCACATAGTACGTATTCAATAAGTGGTTGTCATTATCAGTGAACAGAGGAAGCTAGCAACCGTGCCCATCTTCCTCTGCTTTATATGGGATGCCGCTGTAGCATGGCTCCACAAGCTATGTGTCAGTCTGCGCCCGGGATGTGAAGCTTCCCAGAGTGATGGATTGGGGAAACTAACTTGTTTTAACTCTAACTTGATGGATTTCAGGCTAGAACACATTGTGTTAGAGATAGCAGCACCTTTTAGTGGAACGTGGTATTGTGGTCCAGTCACTATTGTAAAATACCAGAAAACAAGAAAAGGGAAGTAACATTTTGGGAGCCATGAGTGTAGATTCAGGGAATCCCGTGGTGTGGAAGGAATTGTTTGCTCTTTGGGTCATTGCTGAGTTGCCTGGGGCAGAGAGGAAGTCTCTGGGAGCTCAGAAAGTTCTGATGATTACTTTCAGTAATGGGTGTACAGTGCCCTCCCTTGCCATGTCTACCAATTCAACTGGCTTTGCTAGAAATTACAAGAAATTTTCTAACTTTGTATAACATGGTGTTACATCCCTAACCCCCCCCAACGTGTTTTTGTTTTTATGATAGTCATCTATGGGAAGGTAAGGCTTGGCTTTTGCAAATTTATTTGTAGCCAACTGTGAAATAGAGATAGTAATTGTTTATAAGATACATTTATTAAAGATTAAATTGTCATATTTAAGGATATTTATGGCATGAAATTCAGATAGTCTTTAATAGGATTATGGAGCATTCATAAATATTGTTTCAGTTGAAAACAAAACACAAAAGTTAAGATTTATTTAAAGAAGGTATATGTTCTGACAATTTTAAAATTTCATTCTGTGTGAACCATGAAACTATTCATTGAAAGGTAAAATCCCCCTTTGTTTTTGGAAGTTTTTAAGCAAGTTTTGTTAGGAGCAAGCCCCTCCTGCAATCCCAATTAAGATGCTTCTGTTTTGAAGGATAGAATTTTAACATTCAGAGAGAAAACAGTTATTCTTAACTTTTTTTTAATATGGTGTTAGCAATTTCTAGGGTAGGAGGTGGCAGCTTTTTGTGTGTGTGTGTGAGGAAGATTAGCCCTGAGCTAACATCTGATGCCAGTCCTCCTTTTTTTGCAGAGGAAGATTGGCCCTGGGCTAACATCGGTGCCCATCTTCCTCTGCTTTATATGGGACACTGCCACAACATGGCTCCACGAGTGGTGCGTCCGTCTGCGCCTGGGATCTGAACCTGCGAACCCTGGGCTGCTGGAGCGGAGCATGCGAACTTAACTGCTATGCTACCAGGCCGGCCTCATGGCAGCTTTTTTGAGTGAGTGGATTGTGGTAAATGTTTTGCACCGATCGATTCTGTTAAAAGTTGATGGGCCGCAATTGGAAGGCTATTACCCTGATATCTGAGATATGCTTTCTTGTGCTTGTTGAAATAAGCGACTTTATTAAACTTGGTATTTTCAAGGACTGAAAAAGAAATTGTTTTACATGTAGACCACCTTCAGTCTTAACTTTGTTGTGAAATTTGCTGTGAAAGGTGGTTGCGTTTCAGAGGCTAAAGTGTTGGTTTCTTGAAAGCATTAAAAGCAGTTAAGTATTGGAGCACTTACTGGGGTGCTGTACTATATTCTGTGTTTGCCCCTATCTTGGGTCAGGTTCATACCTTCATTCACAAAAGAAATGCTAGTTAACTCTCCTGTTTGGGCTTATTATCCCCACTTATTGTGTTGTGATAGTTATTGCTTTACTGTTTTTGTTTGTTGGTTTTTTCAGGGGAAGATTTGCCCTAAGCTAACAACTGTTGACAGTCTTCCTCCTTTTTCCTTTCTTCCCCCCTGCCCCCACCCCCGCAGCCCTAGTGTATAGTTGTAAGTTCTTCTATGTGAGCCACTGTCACAGCATGGCTACTGACAGACAAGTAGTGTGATTCTGCACCCAGGAACCGAACCCGGGCCACCAAAGTGGAGCAGGCCAAACTTTAACCGCTAGGCCATCAGGGCTGGCTCTGCTTTACTGTTTTTATTTTATATTCAAATCAATTGTGATAGGAAAATAATCTACACCCTTCAGATTCCCAGAAGTGGGTTGATACAGTAAATAAAATAAATAGTCTCAGGACTTTGGACCCAGGTTTTCCTTTCTTCTCTCCTTTCCTTCTTTCCATTTTGAAAAAGAACTGTAACTGCTTTTTTTTTTTTTAAGCAGCATATTTATTGCAATCAGATAAGATAGAAGTGTTTAAAAATTTGACTAGTGTGCCTCCAGTGTATTCTGCTTCGATTTTTTTTTTTAATCTTGTCATTTGCATTGTTTTCCTCTCCCCCGTCCCTGCATACACTGACCTACCTACCTACTTATAAAGATTTACACACACATGATTGTAAGCTCCTTCAAGACAAGGAGTACATTTGTTCTGTTTTGCTTCTCAGAGCCTACCACAGTTCTGGGAACTTAAGCACCCAAAACATTTGGTGAGATGAATGATGTGACCCTAAATTGAAAACACTTAGAGTCAGTCAAGAGATATGTGACAAAACACACAATAGATATCTATTGTAATGCAGTTTATTATGTGGGTTTAAATGGACATATGGGTTGAAGGAGAAATAGTTTGGGATTACATTAATGGATTTGCTGGTTCGTTGGACTTAGTTGGGAAAATCTTTTTGTTAAGGGAAGTTTCAGTTGGTTTAAATAGGAAGAGAGTAGTTGTTTTGTGCAAAATGGATTGTCTGAGCAGAGGCAAATAAGAAAGAGAACTAAAGGCAGGCCTGAGGTCAAGGTGGATAAAGACAGGTCAGGACGATTGTGAGGATAAGGCAGAAAAACTCAGACAAGGACACTAGTAGTGATGACAGTGAGGAGTGGCAGATTTGAGTTTTATTTCCAAGGAAGAAGCAGGACTAGGGGCATACATTTTTGTGAGTTAACTCAGGCTTCTATCAATAGAGCAATTTATTTAGAGTTGGAAAAATTTTCAGGGGGAAGTTTTGGGAATGAATCAGGACTCTACACTGTGGTCAGAAAGCGACCTGCTATTTGTTTATAGGGCATTTAAAATCCTCTGTAGTCTGTCCTTCATAAATTAAATAAAATTGGGCATTTTTCCTTTTTTTTTTTGCTGAGGAAGATTCGCCCTAAGCTAACATCTGCGCCAATCTTCCTCTATTTTTTGTATGTGGGTTGCTGCCACAGCATGGCTGCCGACTAGTGGTGGAGGTCCGTGCCCAGGAAACGAACCAGGGCTGCCAAAGTGGACTGCGCCGAACTTAACCACTAGGC